ACTGCAGCCGTTTGGCTTTTATACGATATTCATGTTAGCGCAGTCCACGAGACTTTCATACGAAATGAAAGTCCCCCAAACAATATTGTCTCAAGAGTTTCATCAAAACCCATTTTCTTTTCGTGTCTATAAATTGTGATAGTCACAAGCTATTTTTTCATCCCTGGTAAAATTGTGGACTCATATTTCTTGCTGATTATGGTTTGCGCCTAAAATTTTCATATTTATTATTTATGCAGTAGAAGTCGATGCACTTCTCTTTACCAGCAGCTGCATGTTAGCCTTTTCCCTTACTTTGAATTCTTAGATTGTGGCAATTATTTGTTCTTTGGTTACTTGTTGCTTTCTTGATTCTAGCTAAGGTAATTATTACTAGCAAATAACAATCACTTTTCCTCCTACCTTTCATAAGGAGAAGTAAGGAGTCTTAAATGGAACCAGCCTTTTTACACACTACTTCGCATTTTGAGAACCTTATTAACTACTCATTGTTCTAGCCATGAACCTCGGGGCACACCTGTAAAGGACAATATGCCTTGTTTTACAGGCTTATTCTGCTATTTAGTCTCGAAGAACATACCTTGTACAGCTGCATCTATTATTGATGTCAAGCTGTAGAATTAGGAATGCTTTCAAAAAGGAAAGCAGAACTGGGTGAGCTATTAGAGACATTCTAGAAAAATCAAGAAGTCATGCGAAAATGGGGTCAAATTAATAGTATATATAGCAAATGGAGACTGCGTCTAAGCCAAAATTTATAATATCTTGATATGTCTATCTATTACCTGAACTTTGCTGTCATGATACATATATATATATATATATATATAATATTAATGATAATAGTTTATATGTATATATCTACATATATACATAAATCTATTATAATTATTTATAATTATAATATACTGAATATATTGAATATGCACCAAACTCTGTTAATGAATTTCTCTTTGCTTTATCTCCCAATGGGTTTTATTACCGCTGATAGGGTATTTAGTTGAATCAATTGACGGGGTCAATCTGTTTATAGAGAAATCATCAATATGTGAATGATCGAGATTTTGGTTTGTCTATATTTAAGATTTTTTACTCCTTAACTCTTCTACTCTTCCTCATTCATTGTGTTGGAAATACAAATTTTGCTCAATTATGATGCAGTGAAGGAGACCACGAATGCTAGTACATAGTATCTTGTTTGCTCCACAAACTGGCGGTAATCTATATGAGTTTAAAAGTATAATATCGGGAATAGAGTTGGTTCATTATAATGCTTTTAATGGTGCCGTAATAAAACATTTTCCTCGTTTTATGTCATTTTTATAGCTCTCTGGCCAGCTTGCTCACGAACAGGCGCTTCTCGATCTGCTCGAAACTGAGTTGAAACGGATCGTTGAAGAGGGTGATTCTTGCAAAGCTAAAGGCCGTCCGGAGGCATCCTCAGATCTGGAGCGACAGCTGCAACTGCTTGAGGCTCGAGTGGAGGAACAGCATGCTCTCGTGGAGGACATAGAATACAAATACTTTGAGGCAAGTGAAGGGCAGAGTGGTCTGCCATCTCCTTTCTTTAAGTTCAAAACATTTGCTTAATCGTTGCATAATTTTAAGGAAACTTTTCGCAAATGCATCATATTCTTTCTACATTCAGCTATGTTTGACCGTCAGTACTACTTTCCATCATTCATAATCACTGTCATTTTTCCTCTTATTACAAATTGTGTTGCCACCCCCCTCCTCTCTAATTACTTAGTCAGGTGGATATAATTCTCTTTTTGGGGAATTTGTATAGTTTATCCGAGATGAATCTCAATCATTTGTTTAAACCCTGATCAAGGAACGTTTGAGTTAAAAAATACAGTATCCTTCATCTGCTGCCGTAATATACATGTACAAGAGCATATTTAGAATTTTCGAAGATTGCCAAGATTACACTATGAGGTTGAGTTTGCCATTCCAGTTAGATGTAATTTCAAGTCTAGTTTGGCGAGAAAACTCTGGATTGAATCGTCTCTACCACCCCTTTAATCAACCACAGCATGATTGGGAGCCTGATTTCCCGTACCTTTATAAAACCAGAACTGATGCCTTCCACGTTTAAGTCGGGTATATGAGCTGAAGCCATGCTTGACAGAAGTTAAGACTGAGAATGTACCAAGTTCACGGTTTGATGCTGGAAATTATGATATCTACTATGGCAGAGTACTTCGGACATGGTGCATTTTG